AAACTGTTATGTAATGTTGCTTTTGTTAAATTAAAAATATTTATCGTTCTTGTTTAAACGTAAAAATGAGTGGTAATTAAAATTGGTTATTTTTCAAAGCAGTATCACACGGGAGATGCAGTACGTATTTCCTGAAGGTATATTTTAGTTTCACGATGACCTTTGAATAATCATGTGACGGGTTAATTTTCATATCTCAAGTATAAATCATGATTTTGTCAGTATCATCATCTTTATGACCGTTATTGTGATAGAAATAGATTTTTGGCATTGCATTCTACAGATTAAATTTTCACAATTGCCCACATCTACCTACTTTACAATGACCTTTGTATATCTTTTTTCGAAAAACCGCCTACTTTTGTACTTTTAAACAATGATCAATGAATAAGATGACCACATAATAATAAATGAAAATGTAGGTAAGTACTTAGTTCTACATGTAACGACAACATTGTATACCGTTAAAAAAATATTTGGTTACGTTTCAGAATTTAAACTTATAAGCAATTAATAAGTAGGAATATATATATATGTATATATCCGAAAGGCGCATATCCTACATTGCCAAAGTTTGTTTTATTTCGCATTACCATAGGTCATTGTCAAATGTATTAATTTATTCATTTTACTATACAAGGTGCTCTTAATACAATTTATTTTCGTGTGTTGCGCTTGCGTTGTCTGGCGTTTGTTTGTACAGAGTACTCTCATCCGAAACAAGTCTGGTTGCCTAACTGACTTAACCTAACCTAACCCAATCTACCCTAACCTGGCATTACCTAACCTAGTTGAACCCAAACGTTTTAATCATCATAATCATCTTATTCCGATTCTATTTGAAGTTAACTATGTCGCATAAGGTCCAGACTGCAGCCCTTTCAGACTTCCTACCAAGTTATCATATTTATGACTTTATTTACCCCTTAAGTTCGTTTCTTTGTAAAATTTTTTTGTCGTTTTTCTTGATTGCTTTTTGAAGTGAAACTTCTTTACGCACGGTAGGGTAAGTTCGTTTCATGCGAGTTGCTACGTAACGAAATCATGCAACAGAGATGTCTCGTAGTGGGGATCGCTTGAGCCGTGAGTGCGCTTCAATGCAACGTTCGTTACATACAGGCAACTCCGGCATGTATAGTGTACAAATAATACCATTAAACCAATTCCTTAACCCCTATCCCGGTATGTTTGTGTTTTTGAAGAAGTTCCACTTCAGTAGTTTTACAACACGCTGTATTTTTTTTAATAATCAACATCGACAGATACTTCGCATCGGCGGTAATTTCTGCCGGATGCTTCAAAGTTCTCAAACACAAATCGTAATTTTACTTATAGTCTGAGTCTTCATTTTTAAATATGATACTTGGGGAACTATTTCAATACTTTTTGTAAGCAGCTAGACCAATTGTACGGCTCAAACATCCCCTATACACAATTATAATACCGCTGTGGGTATAAGCGCAAACGCCATAATTAGGTACCTTTTTAACACAACGACATTTGACCTGTACCATAGGTGTAACTGTGTAACTGCTTACAAAAAGTGTTGAAGTAGTTCCCTAAATATTTCAAAATGAGAAAACGTTTTTTAGACCTTCTAAATTAGTAGAGTAATTCAGTTTAATTTTCTATTAGTTTTTTATGCACGTCCCATCTTCGCTTTGTGATTTGCAAACTTTGGTTATTGACACCCAAGTTTATACAATTCCAACTTTTTAGTATCTATTAGGTCGGTCTAGTAATACAGTATGAAAGCAAAGTTCAGCACGCAAACGGCTCGGACCCGAAACGGTATAGCGTGAACCAAGCTTTATTACTATGTAGAACAGGATAATTTAATTTAAAGGTCACGTATGCGATTCTGAGTTCAAAAATGTAGTCTAAAAGAACACAATATTTTAACGTTACTTATTGTGTGTTCTATTTTGCGAACTTTCTTGAGGTTTTCGAAGCAAATTTGGAAAAAGCCACCTTCAGAATTAAGATTTTATTAGGTGAGTCAGATAAAATGGGAAAGAGTTCGTAAGTAGGTTACACTGTAATTGGGTTTCCGTGAAAATGCGTGATGACTGATGAGGAAAATTTTTCCCATTCAGTAAATTAAAGGATAGCTCTCAGTTCTTTAGTCTCTGCGAAAGTATGTAATGTGAGCTTTTCTAAAAGGGCAATAGGTTAATGAAAGTTGTGTGAAAACGGACGATTTTCTTTTGCGAAAAAAAAAAAAGAAAAACGAAATGAAAGCACAGGACCCTTTGGCAAACATGTAGAAGAACGTGTACGTATGCATGACTGTATTTCAATTGCTAATCAGGCATATCGTCTTTATTGTCGATCAAAGTGGCGCTCTTTCTTTTGAAAAATCCTCTCGTTCCGCTCCTTATTGCGGCGAGAATCTTCTTTTAAGGAAATCCGACATCAGGCGAGGTGAACACTAACGACCCTGAGGCTCTATTCATAAAAGCTTAGCGAAATCTTTTTCCAGAAAGTCTTTTTCACATATTGATCAAAGCCAGAGGTATATACGTACGGGGTGCAGTTTTCGAACATATGAACAAAAAGAAGGACAGATTCAATGAGTAAAATTCGTACCTTGAAGACTTTGTTGACCTGTCATTTGGCTGAATTAATTATGTACTACAATTGAATTATCAGCGAATGCAGATGTAGTCTGTGTTCGTCGATATTATAAGGGTAATGAATTCAATAATAATAAAGAAATTTAATAAAAAAGTAATTCAGTAAAATTATTTTTAACTAAATAAATACAAAAATATATATACAATGGTAGGAGTTAGAGATAGCTTTAGCTAATAAAATAGAAGCGGTATTGACAAAACACTACTGTATGAAAATAAATAAAAGAAAAACAAAAATACTGGTATGCAAGGAAAGAAAAATTGGGGAAAGAGCGAATATAAAGATAGGAGAAGAAAAATTAGAAGAAGTGACCTTTTTCAGGTACTTAGGAAGTCAGATAAGTCAGGACGGAAGGAGTAGTAGGGATATAAAGCAGAGTATAGCGCAGGGTCGAGTCCCCTTCAATAAAAAGAAGTCACTTCTATGCTCGCAAACAGTTCATTTAGAAGTTAGAAAGGTTGTTAAAACATGGACAGTGGATGCGGTGGAAAAAAAAAGGTTATAAGCGTTCGAAATGTAGTGTTACAGGCGAATGATGACCATACCGTGGATAGAGAAGGTTAGAATTGAAGAGGTTTAAGAAGGAATAGGAGAACAGATGACTCTATGGAAGTCACTAAGAAATAGACGAAATGGTTGGTAGGACACCTTCTCAGGCATGAAGGTCTAGTCAGAGACATATTAGTCAGGAGGGGTAGAGGTAGATTTAGATTAGATTATTGTTCTCAAATAGTTGAAGGGAGGATTGTTCTAGTTTTAGGGAAATGCGAATATTGGCTCAGGATAGGAGAGAGTGGAGGTGCGTGTCCAACCAGTCTTAGGATTGACGACCTTCTGATGACAATGGTAGGTATCAAACGCATATCGATTAAATCGAGATCGTTTTTTTTTTAAAAAGGGATACATATACATATTAGCACATTCATCATCATCATCATCATAAGGTCGTCAGTCCTAAGACTGGTTGGACACGTACCTCCACTCTGTCCTATCCTGAGCTAAATTTCGCATTTCCCTAAAACTAGAACAACCCACATCCTTAACTATTTGCGAACAGTAATCTAATCTAGGTCTACCTCTACCCCTCCTAACTCCCGTTTCTGCCTCTAATATGTCTCTGACTAGACCTTCATGCCNACTTTTTTAACGTGTTTTATTATTTTAATAAACAATTTTACAATTTGCGTGCACAATTCCTATGTAAATTTTTCCCTCGTTCGAGTTATAAATTTTGCCACCAGATGGTGTATGCCCATTTGACGGATCCCAATACTAATGGAAAAAGCTGAAGAGTTTGCCAAATCACTGGAAATCCATACTTTTAAAGCTTAAACTTAAACCCTTTGTAAGTAAAAACCTCAATAACTCAAATTATTTTACGTTTCTTTTGGTCTTTATTTTATCGAGGTTCTACTGTATGACGAATAAGGAATAAGGATACGGAAAATATCTAATTTGGGTAACACTTTCATGGATTCTCAGTAGATGGTTTAAGTTAACCTTTGCGGTAGATACCTCTTTTTATCCTTATAGTCATCCCCATTGCCTCCCCATAATTCTTGACAACAGGCAAATTCATCGTCCGTACACTGCGGTTGCTGGACGTACGCATCTTCGTTGAGTGAACTTTTGGGGTGACTTGACACCACGCCTTTGGACAGAGTATCGAAGAAAGTGTCCATCAGGGGTATTTGCCCAGTGGGCAGTGCAGCATTGATTGCCCCCAGAGCTAGCAACTCTTGACATGTCATTGCTTCTCCGTTTAATAAATCGCAGCATTCAGCAGCAATCTGTTGCTGCGTTACTAAAACTTGTTGCTGATTGAGGGGACCACTGTTAACGTTTGCGGTAATTTGCCAAATGTTGCCGTCACCTGGAACCAAAAAAATCGTAGTTCATTTGAAGAGGTTTTACCGTCTCAAGAACTATTCTCTCCTAAATTATTTACGCAGTTAGTTGCAAAATATGCTGGTACATATCGATACATGTTTTCTACGTTTGAATATTACGTTTATATAGAAACTTGAAAACCTTAGTTTCAGTTTAGTGGTTCTTTGAACGACAACAGTCGTGAGTTTTTTCAAAATGTCTTTTTGTTTAAACAAGGCTTACCCCCCGCCCAAGTAAAAGAACGGTTAGATGGCGTGTACGAAGAGTCTTCCCTTTCTTACACCACACTGAAAAATTGGGTGAAATAGTTTCGCATCGGAAGAGAAGCCGTTGAAGACATCGGCCTAGATTCTCTAAAAGTCTACTCCATCATGCAACCCATGAACTTTTTAATAAGAAAAAAGTCAGTGCAGGGTGGGTCACGAAACTTCTTTCAGCTGTGCAAAGATAGGGAAGAGTGCACTGTGCTTCCAAACTTTTAGATATTTGTGAAGAAAACGCAAAGAATGGGATCGAATGACTAGTGACTGGTGATGGAGCTATGGTCATGTATTATGATCCAGAAAATAAGCGCGAAACAATAGAATGACTTAGTAAGCGTGAAAGACAGGGTGTAAGAATGCATCCATCGTGTACACAATCTCTTGGGATTTTCAAAATATTTTGAAGATGGATTTTAAAGAACGCAATATTTTCGTAATATCATTAGTATATAACTGCGAGAAACGTATAGAGACAAGCTATTTAAAGGCGTCCTATAGCTTCACGACAACGCCCCTGTTCATATACCAATGGAATTTCGAGGAATGTAATTCTTCAGTTCAGGTTCATACAACTAGACCACCCACCTTATAGTCCAGACATGTTTTCTTCCGATTATTATTTATTCGCAAATTTATTATAAAATGGCACCAAGTTTTAAGCAATGAGGAATTGTAGGCGGCCGTTTTTTAGTTATTTAAAGACCAAGGTGGGACTTACTTTTACAAAGACTTAAAAATGTTAGTTTATATATGCTAGAAGTGTTAGTATTAGTTAGGCCAAATAATTATGGGACCACCTACGTATGTTCAAAATTTGCACACATTTTCATAAAAACAAATTCTGTGGAAACCAATGTATGAACTTCTGGTTGACCAATCTCCAGCTGTTCCGTGACTTATTGAAAACTTCCGTGTTCCTATCTCTAGCGTACTTACGAACGGCTGGAGACGCAGATGGAACCAGCCGAAACGTCAAATAAAAGCAATATTTTATGTTTATGATTGACTCTGAATCTTAATTAAAGTAACTAATTACGTAGGTACAAACATTTTCTG